GTGCTTCCCTGTGCCCTTCCTTCCATACTTCCCCCATCTGGGCTCGTGGGGGTTGCCCTACTCCTCTTGGCAAGGAAATAGGCTTGTACCTCTGAAAGGGTCCTGCTGACAATCTTCTCGGAGGGTGGCTCTCTGTAATATGCCAGGCGCCGTTCCACCTACTTGTGTACTTCCTCCTCTTTTCCGGCCCCTGGCTGCAGGGTAGTTGCCTCACTGTGCGCCTGGTCGTCCTCCATGAGCGCAGCAGTCAATTAAGCCTTGTTACGACTGCCAGATGTTATCACTCTGGCTTCACACAAGTCTTGCAGTGTAGGTCGTTTTAGAGCACTGTAGTCCATGGGTCTGTTGGCAGGGACATGGGATCCCACCACTTGCAACCAGTTGTAGCAGGACCTGGGTAACCTGCCTGGTTATCCCCTTTGGTTAGAGTAGGTCAGACCCATTTTCCCAGTAACAGGACGGGACACAGTTCCAGGATACGTTTGACAATGTTTATTGTTGAAAAAGATTTTCAACAATTTTTACATTAAGAGTAGAGATCTCTTTAATTACTTCCGAAATGTTTTGATTAATGTCATTTTTAATTTTCTCATACAGGTCGTCTCATACAAATCTTGGGAAAATGAGCTCAGAGATTGCACCACTGCAAACAGAAAATATAATTCTCAAAAATCAAATCAAAGATATGGACAACAAACTAACAGAATTTGAGAATAGATCACGTAGAAAGAATATAAGAATTAAAGGCATCCCGGAAGAAATCAAACAAGAGAATTTAATTGACCATATTAAAGAATGGTATTAGGGAGTTATCTACCAAAAGGCTCAAAGACCTAAAATGGTCTTTCAGACAAATTTACTAATACTAAGTAAAGATTACTTAGTATTAGTAAATTATGCCCCTACTCGCTATACAGCGAGTAGGTGCATGTATAGTGGGGGGCCCTAAATTAGAATGAGCCTGAGCCTCCCCCCTGAGCGGTGGGTGGGGCCCTAAATACTAATTAAGGGGGGACCTAATGTCCTACACCTTGGCCCCCACCACTGAGCGGTGGATGGGGGCCCTAAATTAGAATGGGGGGGACCTAATGTCCTCCACCCTGGCCCCCACCACTGAGCGTTGGACGGGGGCCCTAAATTAGAATGAGGGGGGGACCTAATGTCCTCCCCCCTGGCCCCCACCCCTGAGCGGTGGGTGGGGGACCTAAATTAGAATGAGGGGGGACCTAATGTCCTCCCCCTGACCCCAACCCCTGAGCGGTGGCCCTAAATACTAATTAGGGGGGACCTAATGTCCTCCCCCCTGAGCAGAGGGTGGGGGCCCTAAATTAGAATGAGAGGGGGAGGACCTAATGTCCTGTCCCCTGGCCCCCACCCCTGAGCGGAGGGTGGGGGCCCTAAATACTAATTAGGGGGACACACCAAATGTCCTCCCCCCTGGCCCCCACCCCTGAGCGGTGGGTGGGGGCCCTAAATTAGAATGAGGGGGGAGGACCTAATGTCCTCCCCCCTGGCCCCCACCCCTGAGCGGTGGGTAGGGGGCCCTAAATACTAACTAGGGGGGACCTAATGACCTCCCCCTGGCCTCCATGGGTGGGGGCCCTAAATTAGAATGAGGGGGAACCTAATGTCCTCCCCCCTGGCCCCCACCCCTGAGCGGTGGGTGGGGGCCCTAAATAAAAAAATTACCCCCTCCCCCAGATGACTAGGGGTCCCCAAACATAACCCCCACCTACCCCCCTCACCCTAAAAATAATGAGGGGGGACCATTTAACCAAGTACCTGTAAAAGAATAAAAATAAAACTTACCATTTGATGTTTTCTTTCTTCAGCCCCAAAAGAGGCCAAATAAAAAGCCATAATAACGGACGCACTTAAAAAAAAAAAAAAAAAGAACGCAAAAAAATAATAATCCATCTTCACCCACGGAGGGCTCCGCGCAGACTGAGCTCTGAAGGGCGGGGCAAGGCTTATAAAGGCTTGCCCCGCCCTGCAATTAGGCTCAGAGCAATCTGATTGGTGGGTTTAAGCCATCCAATCAGAGTGCTCTGACAAGTAAATGAAGAGACTGATAGGTAAGTCTCTACATTTACCTGTCACAGCACTCTGATTGGTTAGCTTGAAATTCACCAATCAGAGTGCTCTGTGTCATTTTACACAGCGTGGGAAAGTTCTTTGGAATTTTCCCACGCTGTGTAATTTGACTCAAAACTCTCTGATTGGTAGAGTAAGTTGGTCCCCCCCTAATTAGTATTTAAGGCCCCCACCCACCGCTCAGGGGGAGGACATTAGGTCCTCCCCACTCATTCTAATTTAGGGACCCCACCCACAATAATAACCCCTCTATTATTAAAAACTTTTTTAGATATAACAACCTCCAATAGTTTTTCCTCTGAAATGCTGAAAGCTACGATCTCACCAATCCCAAAACCCGGGAAAGATCCACACTACATATCCAATTACCGTCTGATTTCCCTCATTAATCTTGATATAAAAATATTTTCAAAAATCCTAGCAGATAGCTTGACCCAGATAATTTCAGATGTAATCCATTTAGATCAATCTGGCTTTATAAAAGGAAGATCAGCTAGTGATAATATCCATAAATTCTGAATATGATGATAGAAGTCGCCAAAAAAAATCAATCTCTACGGTTTTTATAGCAGTCGATGCCGAAAAGGCATTCGACAGAGTAAATTGGAATTTTTTATCAGCTACACTTTCCGCATTTGGAATTGAGAAATCTTTTAAGGATCTAACAATGTCTTTATATTCTTCTCCTATAGCAACAATTTATGGTAATGGTTTAGATTATGCTTGGTTTTCTATTAAAAACGGAATCTGACAGGTATGCCCATTGGCACCCCTTCTTTATATTCTTTCTATTGAGCCATTGGAAGTATATGTAAAACAGCATAATAACATAACTGGGGTGAACTTAGGAAATCAGGAACAAAAAAGAACTATGTTCGCTGATGATATAATTCTGACTTTAACAAACCCAGAATCTTCTATACCATCCACACTTCATTGTATAGAACAATATAGTAGATTTTCTAACTATAAGATCAATATGCAAAAAAACACAAGCTTTGCATGATAATCTACCAAGCTCATTAAAAAGAAACCTGAATAGTAACTGTAAATTTAAATGGTCCAATTCTTTGTTATTTGGGAATAAATATAAATTTTAATATTGAAGAATGAACCACTGATAATTATACCATACTCCTTAGAGAATTTAGAAATACAATTTTAAAATGGTCTAAATTACAAATATCTTGGCTTAGAAGAATAAACATCACTAGAGCATATCTACTTCCAAAATTAGAATATCTACTTCGTACTATCCCACTTAGAGTCCCAAAGAAAATACTTCAATTGTTTCATGGTCTATTTGTATCTTATGTTTGGGGCAACAAAAAACCCAGGGTTGCTCTTAAAGTTATGTCAGCTAGATTGGCAGAAGGAGGTCTATCCTTTCAGAATATATTTTATATCCATGACACAGTAATGTTTTCAGACTATTTAGAATGGGGAAATAACAATTCAAAGCTGAAAGTATGGTATTTATATGAAAAGAGTTTATGTAATAACTGTGGCCCTTTTGATCTTTTCTGGATAGATAAAACAACTTTTTAAAAACCTACCCATTGATAATTTAATTATATCCCATACTTTTCAATCTATACTACCAATAAAGAAATACTTTTTTGCTCAAAATCAAATTTCCTCAAATGCCCCTTTGGAAATTTTAATATTTTTCATTCAAGATCTTAATTTATCTGGTTGGTTAGTTAGAGATGGGATAAAAATTCAGGACCTATACTATACCTCTGGTATTAGCAGTTTTACAAGTATGAAAGAAAAAATTGGACTTGTAAATAAAGAACATTTCACTTATTTAAGAATAAAAAACTTTCTTTATAAGGTAACTATAATTAAAGACTCGCCTTTTGACAAGATCCTTTTTGGAACGGTTAAAAATAAATCTTCAGCAGTTAGAAGATCTTTGGAGGTATTAAACTAAGAAGTAAAATACAATATGATCTCTAGATGGGAAACCGAATTAAATAAATCTTTTTCATGTCAGGATTGGTCAAAAGTAGAGTTGAGTGGACACCTGGATGTGGTCAATGGGGACCCGAACTTTTGGTCACAAAAATGCCTCTAAAAAACTCCTGGAAAGGGCTAGAGAGCTGCAAAAGAAAGTAAAATGGGGGTAAGAGTAGGACAAGTGCCCTGCAAACAAATGTGGATAGGGAAATCACTTAAAATAACATAAAAATTAAAAATAAAACTGATCCATAAAATAGAACTAGATGGAATCTTTGATTTTAGCTTTGGAAGAACATAAATCAGAATCTAAAGTATGGCTTTCTTTCATTGTTCAAACTGAGCTCAACTCCTGATGCATGGAGAAAAGGCCTTCACAAGCCTCTGCTGTTGTGTACATAGTTTATACTAAGTGACCCATAGATTGAGGAGGCGTGGTGGTGTAGGTGGAAGCGGAGGTGGAGGAGGAGCTAACACTAACACTGTTTTTTATTAATATATATATATAGATTTTTTAATTGGGGTAGCTCCCAAAATACATATAAAAAAGATACATTTACGGCCTGCGGTGCATTTTTTGCAGTCCTGATGCATGGAGAAATGCTCAACTCCTGATGCATGGAGAAAAGGCCTTCACAAGCCTCTGCTATTGTGTACATAGTTTATACTAAGTGACCCATAGTTTAGGAGGTGATGACCGTGGTGGTGTAGGTGGAAGCAGGGGTGGAGGAGGATGATGAGATAGCCACCATGTTTTTTATGTTTTTTTTTTGTGTTTTTTTTTTTATTGTGGTAGCCCACAAAATATTGGGACATACAAAAAAGTAACACTTGTGGCCTGCGGTGCTTTTCTTGCAGTCCTGATGCATGGAGAAAAGGCCTTCAAAGGCCTCTGCTATTGTGTAAATAGTTTATACTAAGTGAACCATTGGCTGAGGAGGCGGTGACCGTGGCCATGTAGGTGGAATCAGCGGTGGAGGAGGAGGATGATGTATATATTTTTTAATTGGGGTAGCCCCCAAAGTATTGGGACATTTAAAAAAGAGACATCTTTATTCCGCAGACTAGCTGTTGACATTATAGTTGCGCAGGCACTTTGTTGACTCTAGAGAACCTCGGGCCAATCGCACATCCCCGTGACAGCGACTTTGTATTCGGATGTCATCCATATCAACTTTCGATGTCAGTATCTGCGCCTACCATGGTGATCACAGGTAACTGGGAATCAGGGTTCCATTCCGTACAGGGACCCTGAGAAACGGCTACCACATGCAAGGAAGGCAGCAGGCGTGCAAATGACCCACTCCCGACACGGGAAGGTAGTGAAGACATAACAATACAGGACTCATTAGAGGCCCTGTAATTGTAATGAGTCCACTTGAAATCCTTTAACTCTGATCAATTGGAGGGAAGTCTGGTGCAGAGCAACTGACCCGTGCGTGCTGCAGCTGAAACTCTACTATTGCCTGCTGCTCGCACAGTCTCATGAGGTGGTGAGCGGGAAGGTTGAAGTTATTCAACAGGCGAGCAGCAGCAGGGTGAGAACGCCAAAAGTGCACACAGCCGCTACAGTGAATGTCACATCCTGTTCCAAGTTGCGGATCAGTCTGGTGATGGCTTCTAGTATCAAGTACTATTTTTACTGCATCAGGGTCCTGGTATGTGGCCGCACAAATGCTGGTGCTCAACACCAGGGGGCGTGCGGTTACCCTGCACCAGACCCTGCTAATCCATTCCACACTGTGACTCCTAACTTCAACATCAGGCATACTGGGTTCCGGTCTTCCTACCACCGCCCAGACAGTGTCTGGGTCCTAGTCACCGGACTGCCCACCTGATTGTGAAACTACGAATGGATCGTTAAATCTGGTACAAACCCAAAATTTGCAGTTCGGGTTCGCTCAACTCTATTATGGATCCTTTGATCGCTACATGTATTACTTGGATAACTGGTAATTCTCGAGGAGCTAATACATGCCGACGAGTGCTAGGGGACGGCCGCTCTGCTTTTGCACCCTGCTCCCTCTTATGCTGTGTTGGTGCCTCTGTGCGACCAGCGCCTCTTCCTCCAAACTGCACACGTCACTCGCATGACCTTGATTTCATGTGGGGTCTAGTACCTCATCATCCTCTACATCATCTTCCACCCACTCCTCAACCCTGCCCTCCTTGCTGGTATGCACACTGCAGAAATCCACAGCAGTTGGCACCTGTGTTTTTCCAGCATGTAAAGTCTGCAAAGGACATATGGAAATTGTTTTAGAATTGTATCCAGGCAACAGTTTTCCCTATAAACTGACCTGTCAGTTTGACTTGTGAGGGTATTGCCCCCGAATTACAATATTGTTATATTGGTATTTGACGCTTCTATTGCACTCTTTAGACATGAAGAGCTTGCCCAAAATGTACTATTTAGCAGATTAGCACCCAGAAAATAAGAAATTTTACAACTGTGCTGTAAGCGCACTATTTGATGCTTCTATTTGATTCTTAGATATGAAGAGCACCCCACTAATGTACTTTTTAGCACCCAAAAAATTACAAATGTTAAAACTGCAATGTGACAGCAGTATTTCATGCTTCTATTTGACTCTCAGATATGAAGTGCACCCCACTAATGTACTATTTAGCACCCAAAAAATTACTTTTTAAAACTCCAATGTAACCGCGGTATTTGACCTTTCTATTTGACTCTCAGATATGAAGAGTACGCCCAAAATGTACTATTTAGCAGATTTGCGCACAGAAAATAAGAATTTTTACAACTGCGCTGTAAGCGCACTATTTGACGCTTCTATTTGACTCTCAGATATGAAGAGCACGCCCCAAAATGTAGTATTTAGCAGATAAGCAGCAAAACAATTAGAATTTTTACAACTGCGCTGTAAGCGCACTATTTGACTCTCAGAAATGAAGAGCACGCCAAAATGTACTATATAGCAGATTTGCAGCAAAACAATTAGAATTTTTACAATTGCGCTGTAAGCACACTATTTGACGCCTCTTTTTGACTCCCAGATATGAAGAGCATGCTCAAAATGTATTATTTAGCAGTTTAGCAGCAAAACAATTAGAATATTTACAACTGCGCTGTAATCACACTATTTGACGCTTCTATTTGACTCTCAGATATGAAGAGCACGCCCCAAAATGTACTATTTAGCAGATTAGCAGCAAAACAATTAGAATTTTTACAACTGCGCTGTAAGCGCACTAATTTACACTTGTGTTTGACTCTCAGATATAAAAAGCACACCCCAAACCGTACTATTTAGCAGATTAGCAGCAAAACAACTAGAATTTTTACAACAAGGTAAGATGCTTCTGATGTTGTTTGTTGTTCAGAAGCGGCTTGACAAGCCCATGTCCAGGATCCGTCTGTGTGTGGTGGATCTTGATGCACTGACTCCAGTCCCCAACACTTTTGAATGGCCTTTTCCTGACAATCCTCTCCAGGCTGCGGTCATCACTGCTGCTTGTGCACCTTTTTCTTCCACACTTTTCCCTTCCACATAAATTTCTATTAATGTACTTTGGGAACATCCAACTTCCTTTGCAATACCTTTTGAGGTTTTCCCTCCTTATGGAGGGTGTCAATGATGGTTTTCTGCACAACTGTCAGTCTTCCCCATGATTGTGATTGCTTTTGAACCAAACTGAGAGACCATTTAAAGGCTCAGAAACCCTTTCAGGTGGTTATGACTTACTTAGCTGATTAGAGTGGGACACTGTGAGCCTAGAATATTGCACCTTTTCCCAATATTCTAATTTACTTGTGGATTTAAGGTTTTCATGAGCTGTAAGCCATAATCATCGCACTTATGACAAATCATGGCATGCTTTGCATGTAATGCGTCTATCTCATATATTAGTTTATTCTAATTTTTCAAGTATCGCGTGTACTATGTGTAGACCTATGCTTTCCCATACTCTTATGCATGTATGCTTATATATGTGACTGTGCATTTATATTTGTGTATATGAGTTCGTGTGCATGTATGTATATGTGTTTGTGTGTATGTATGTGCATATGTGTTCATGTGTATGCGTATACATGTATATATTTTTGTGTGTGTGTATAAAGTGTGTATATACATGCATGCATCTTTGTATATGTGAATAGGTGTATGTATACATATATATTGGTCTATGTATGTGTAGGCACATTGGTATATGTGTAAGTACATGCATTGGTGCTTGAGTGTGAATGTATGTTTAGGTGTGCATGTACATATATTTGAGCATTTGGTTGTATTTATATGTACTTTTGTATAGTGTACTTGTGTATACTTGTACATATACACTACTTGTGTATATATACGTGTGTGAGTATGTGCATCTGTCTGTGTATGATTGATATAGGCCTTCATGCATATCCTGTAACTCTTGGATGGGAATTCGTGCATTCTTAATATAAGTATTTTTTTTTTCACTCCCTCTCCCCCTTCTAGCACCATCTTCTGCACGGTTTTCTTGTTTTTTTCTCTCTCTCCCCCCTCACTCTGATCTTCACACAAGTTATTTACGACCCTATGCAAGAATGGTGTCTATTTTCTATCAAACCTGTGTCTTATCTGCACTCATGATGCTTTAACCTCTGTATCACAACTCATCTTTGAATTCTATGTGTTGTCTTGCTCAGAAATGCTTTAGACCTGAGAAAGGGAGGTTCTCCCAAAAGCTTGTCATTAAAAAATTCTGTTAGTCCAATAAAAAGGTATTGCAAGATACAAATGTTATCTGTTTTTTTGAGACTTGGGACCACCCCTTCACGTCTTACTTCCGCTGTCTAATTGTTGCCCTGGCAAACGCTGGTAACAATCGGCTATTGGCTGCTCAAAGGGCCGCTGACCTCCGACGGAATGTGTGTATGGGGATCCCACCCACACCTCTCATTCTAAATAGCACATTTCTATGTCAACCAGTCGTTCGTCTTACTGAGGCAAATACATCTTGTACATAGACTCCAATTAGCCCAATATGACAGTAAAGTTCAATAAGAAATAAAGCATATAACAATATAAAATAACAATTCCCTATAGTCTAAGAAGTACATTAATGTAAATCCATTCATGAGAAAGAATTTTAAGAAAAAGAAGTCCTATTCTGATGGACTGGTGTGTAAGTATACAAGATAAATCAACAGCAAAAATAATTTAGTTTGATCCTGTAATATGATGTAATAGTACATTTACATACTTATGGTGTGGAATCAAAAAAATTGGTTAATAAAGATATATATCTGATCGCTGGGCAAGTGTAGTTTAAATGAAGACCCAGCGTGGATTTAAAGTTACAGTGCTACTGTTAGACAGAAGATGTGTGAGCAATTTAATAATGAATATAACTCCAAAGAGCCCTCTACAGACTTATATTAAAGTGATATACTATTACTAGAAAAGTGAGAATCGAAATTCAAGCTATATGGACTAAAAGTGACAGTGCTGTATAGGTAAATAAGTGGTCTATAAATAAATATATAGCACCTAATTGTGCCCGACTAAGTGAATGTGGAATAGTAATATACTATTACAAAAAGTGACATATGCATAGTAAAATATCCCAAACGTGCAAACAAAAGAAATGTTAATAGAACCCAATATAAAGACCATAAAGATGTACAAAACTTCATCCAGTAATACTCATGTTATATAGGGTAGTTTATGTTATATGGACCGTCTCCTAACTTGGAGAAGAAGTCTATAACGGTTGTGGGAAGAATAAAAATGCAAAACTAAAACAGAAAAAAAAGATAAAGACAGTAATCTATAAAGTTCCTAATGTATTCTCAATTAAAAACTCAAATACATTCCTATATAAATTATACACGTGTGTAGAAAACTCACTTATATGTTTCAAAAATGGAATGAAAGAACACTTTTCATTCAGTCCATTTGGTGACAGAGTATTCAGAGTATTCAACTCGCTGAGTAGTTTAGCTCTATCCCCTCCTCGAAACAGCATCGGAATATGATCGATCGCTATACATCTCAATGTTGAGAGTTAGTGTTGGCTCTCCAGGAAATGTCTGGCCACAGGTTTGTCTGACTTGCCATCTTGATAGGCAAGCCGGATACTTGACCTATGTCCCTGAATTCTCTCACAGAGTACAGTCTCAGTTTTCCCAACATAATTAAGGCCACATGGGCAACTGAGCTTATAGGTCACATGATCTCTGTGACAATGAATCCTATATTTAATTTTATAGGTTTTATTCATGCTGGGGTGACGGAAGGTTTTAGAAGGAATAATATGGCTACAGGTCACGCATCCCAGACAATGAACACATCCTGCATACAAAGTCTCCTGAGCTCTTGGCAAATAGC